ACCAGTATCCTTTGTGGTATAGTGCTTTCATTTGAATACTAGATCTGAAAGTAAATTGAACATTCTAAGTCAAAGAAATTTTGAGTTTATTTACCTGGTAGAATTCATGAGAACACCACTGTTCTCCTATGTAACTAGGGTTTCAGTCCTGAAGTTCACTAACTAAGGTCCCTTTGCTGACTCCAGTGCTGAACAGAATCCCACTCTTTCTGGAGTGATTTGTAGAGTACTCCTCAAGAACGCACTGATAAACAGCTGGGCTGGAATTTCGGAGAGTTTTTGTTTTAGTTTGCTTGATTTGCCAGATCCACCAATTTTAGCAGGTAAGAAGAGCCATTCTCTCCAACTTAGTAGACATGGCCAGTGGCAGTTCAGTGTTGTTTCTCATTCTTCATCCCGAAGTATCTTCATCACCTAGGATTAATTACAATCAGTAGTACATCAGTCTTTTCAGAACTTTCTTTTTTTAATTTGCTGTAATATAGAGAAGACTATTCAGTTCCCTATTAATTTTCGTATAGCTGTTAACGAACCATCGCATGGTAGGATGCTACAGGGACACTATGTAAAGCAACATTTTGATACGAGTTATGGTACCTGTGGAAAAAATGTTGCATTTGCAACGCGCAAATTTAGATGCAGCTACTCAGAAAAGTTTCTGGACAAAAGACAAGATCTAGGAAGATATTTAAAAATACAACATCTTTAAAGCTTGAGGAGACAAGGCAGTTCTCATTTTTTTTCCCTTTTTTTATTTTATTTTTTTTATATATTTTGTTCCCAGACATGAAATTAATTTACTTCTTGGAATATAAAGAAGAATGAGTCTTGAAATCAGCATTTTGATTTTTTAAAATAGGTCTTGATTTACTGTTCTTCATCAGCTGTGAACAACAGTACAATAGTCTCAGTCCACCTGTGAATTCCAGCACCACTGTAAGATAAAAGAAGAACAAATCAAAATAAAAAATATTTTGCAAATATTGTAAATACTTACAATTGAAGAATAGTCCTTCCAACTTCATTAGTGTGAGAATAACTATCTTTCACCTTAGTTAAAAGCAGCAGATTTTTTTCTGAGATCAGCTCCAAAATTTTCCAGAACTGAATCACTAGATTTTTAAAACCTCTAAAAAGATCACTTGCTTTTACTCTGAAACAACAACTGGACGCATAAAGAACTAATTGCATTTAAATTCTTCCAACAGTTGTAAAAGATGTTGTAGCTGAGGATCTGCCATAAAAACAACCACATCTTCACATTTATGCAGAATTCTCCTTTCTTCAAAGGAACAGGTATGAAACTTCCTACATTGGTCCAAAAAGATTGCCTAAAATTGGCCCAGAATTTTTTTTTAAGACTTAAGAAATCAGTGCATGATTTTTTTTGTAAAAAACCTTTCTTTTGGCATTCCTTCCCATTTCAGGAGATTGATTTTCAGTATTAATAAACTGCCAAAAGACAAATTTTTCATGAGGTATGTTATCACTGCTTCAAACAGACCTAGAAACAGTGTAATAATTATCACACGATCTTTGCAAGATGAGACCATATATCATCTGATACAAACATTCAATTATTCCAGCAGTTACAAAATCTCCATTGCCACTGATCTGATACAATCATTATTTCTAATTATTCTCAATCTTTTTTTGTTTAATATTAAACCTAAAACCACTGTCATACATCTACCACTGTGCTCAGCAGATGCCTATTTTCTGGATGAAGACATCTTTACTCTCAGCTACTCATTGTTTAAAATAGGCAGTGGCAAAGCCAGTTTTCAACACCTTCTGCTGGAATCACTAAACTTGATTTTTAAAAAAATACTTTTATGTGTTTTAAGCCAAAGTTTTAAGAGACTAAACTTAAACATAACTAGTCTCCCTCACCAGCATTCTTTATAATGTGAATAAATAATGACAGTAGGAAACACAAATTCTCTTTGTCTAGCATTAGAGTGAGCACTGTTTAAGGCTTATTGATTTACCATGAGTAATTTTTAGCAAATGTAATGTTTGTGGACAAGTCAGCGTAAACATTTTAGGAGATGAAAGTATACAGAGTGCAAATGCCCAGGCAGCAATGTAGTCTTCATATGCCCCATCACCTGCCCTTGGTCAGCACCCCTAGTGAAGGATAGTCCCTCTCAGTGGAAGTACATTCCAGTTTTACTGCCAGCTCAGTACTTGTTTGTTTCTCACTTCAACCAAAGAGCTGATTATTTTCTGCCAACAAAATGACAAGTTTTTTCATGTGCAGCTGTCTGGCTGGAATTAGGCTGAAATGACCTGTTTCATTTCTGTTATTTCCCTAATTCAAAGCCATGATGTGGCATGAGGTGCAGATTGCACTTCTAGGGAATACTTGAAATGTATTTTCTTCATTTAATATCTTTATATTCGAAACATTGAGGGGAAGCTAGAAGGGAGTGGCCAGAGGAAATGATCATACATCTAGTAAATCTGCAATCATCACCTTTTCCTTTCTCCACAAAAGATTTTTTTTTTTTTCAAGAGTTGGCTTTCAAATAATAGGAAATAAAATCACAGAAATTTCCAGTGCAAATTTAAAACGTCATGTCTTGATTTTCTGCTCATTCATATATCTCATCTACCTTTACTATTTAAGGTGCCTACAGTACCTTTACTTTTAAACAATGCACTAACAATATACTTTTTGAAGCCCTTTTTCACATTTCTGTAGCTTTGTTTACCTAGAACACCTACCATGAAACATTTAACAACAGAGTAGTATCCTAGATTTATCTAGTATTTCTTCTAGAATACCTAGGCCAACATTAAATATTCAGGAAAACAAGGGCTACAGAATAGAGCATGCAAACAAGATGTTCTGGAATAGTATAGTTTATTTAGTAAACTTGTCTACGTAAAAAAAATGTTTTGTGGAGATCACTTAGGATCACTTGTTTTCACAAGTTTGCAATAAAAGAATTACTAGCTTCTAAATGAATGTTATTGTTGTCTGTTCAAAGGATGACTCATCTGCTCCAACATACTTGTGGGAATGACAGTCAATATTCTCTGACTTGGAAGTCTCACATATGTTTTTAGATAAAGCATTTAATGTCATATTCAAGGAGGGAAGGAGGGAGCTAGAGCTAGAAAGATAAGTAAAAAGACCTTTATCAGGAAATATGTAATCTTGGTGATAATACGTTCCATGAGTATGGATATAAGAAAAAAAACCTTCTCTTTAGCAAAGACATATATATATGTATGTATGTATATATATATATACACACAGACACACACATAAGAATTGCGAATAAAAGAAGCATTAAGTCTCCTGGAGCATTAATGTTACCAAGCAGCCCAGAGCTACTAAAGACAGCAGATGATTTCAACTTGATACGACCCTGAACAACAACCTTTTGAAGTTGAACTTGCTATGTGCACAGCTCAGAACAAATGACCTTGGGAAGGCTCTTCTAAGGTGGTTACAATTAGCACTAATAACTAGTAATAATAACCAATAATAACTCTTAATTGTTAATCCTTAGGCACAGTACATAGTTCATCTATTTTATATGCCCATTAAGAAACATAGCTCAATATAGTCTAATTTAAAGGGTCAGGGAAGTTTTCATTATTTTAGAAAGTCACAGTCTCCATTTCAAGTCAGTTTGTGAAAAGAATCATGAATCTATAGAATTTATAGGATTACTTAGAAACACTTAACACTGATTTTCTGACACAGAAGTAATGATTTTATTTGGACAAGACAAGAGATTCCTTGGGGAAATCATTATCAGAATAAGAGTTGATATGAGTTCATATATAGGACCTACAGTTCGTTAAGTAGCAGGTATTTCAGAGGGTTAGTCCTTAAGGCATTACAAAGCATTGATATTGTTACTTTTATTTCTGGTACTACCTAAGTCATTTTAGAAAATGTAATCAATAAAGATTGCTTTTCCTTTCTAGCTCCTGATTTTCATACATATTCTCTAATGTCCAGTCCATTCAAACATTTAAGCCAAGCCTAAGCTTGAAACTTAACCAAAATTTAACCAGTGAATTAACTGTCCAAATAATTTATTTGTATGTATTTCAAACTTCTTTACCATAACAAGTCAATGAATGTTTCAGGAGATGGAATGTGGTCGCAGGTGCATAAAATTATAGTCTAATAGTGTGCTAGGGTTACCATGCCACCTCAGTATGGCTTTTAGATAGCTTTTGTTGTGCACTAACTACTGTGCTTGCACTTCCTGTGTGTATGAATTGGTGGATATGATTAGCAGAGGCAGGTTGTTTTCAATCAAGACTTAAGACTACCAAATCAGCTCAGTTTTCTTTATGTGCATTATCTTGACTAAGAAGGAAAAAAAAACCCACAAAAAAAGCAAGAATATGATGTAATGATATATTTGCATCAAATATTAACCGATTCCATTTCAAAACACTACCTAATAGTAAATAACACAGTGGAAGCCTTTCCTTAAATTCTTCTCTTCAAAGGAAAGCTTTTGGGATATGCATTCACACCCAGCCATTTTCCCTTCAACTTTGACAAATTGATCAGAAGATGCAGTAGAAAAAAAATTACATCCTCCTACTAGACCAGGTGGTTGAAGCCCCAGTCTTTTTCTCTTCACCTCTAAATCTTCCACTAAGGCTGATATACCACTAAAACATACTATCATCAAAACATACTATCTTCAAAAAGACCTACCAGCCTAGATCCTTGATTCCAAAGAGATGTGACAACTGCAATCTACATACAACACAACTGAACTCCTTGTATGCAGAAATAAATTCCCCCCTCCCTGTTAATATCACTGCTGTGTAGGCTGATGACATCATTAAGGAAAATTCTATTCAGGCTCAGAAAAGAAACAGCTGCAGAACACACAGAAGATAAAAACATTGTCCAAATCTGATGTCCAAAGCTAGGCAGATGGGAGCTGTCAATGATCAAAGAGAACAGAAATAAAACAAAACAAAAAAAGAAACAGAATATTAAAGACCATGTCTCACATCAGGGTCCAAACTAAATTTTTCTGCCCCTCCACCACTAGCTCACCTCCTTACTTGCTCTCAGCTCCAGCAGCCAGCACCATTAAGTATAATCATTCCACCCTACCTCAACACCAAAACACGTTAACTAAAGGAAAAGAAGCTCTAAAGAGACATATCTTATGCCTTTGATGAGAGACAAAATGCCTCTATATGTAGGTAATGTGGCTTTAGGACCTTCAAGATACTTAGACATTTTGTATTTTCACAAAAACATAATCTAGCTGTGATATGAAATAAACACAACACAAAAAAGTGAGAGCGAAGAAGAGGTCCACACTACTGGAAAATATATGTCTTCTGTTAACCGAAATGTATTTCACTCAAAAGGCCCTAAAACAGGATGCAATGGTAAGATATGTGTCTTTGGTAAGAAATCTATATTTGTCTGATATTGTCATTTTATCTCTACAGAGCAGATTAAAAGAATATGCTTTTATTTTGTTCCGTGTGTTAGAACCACATACTTTGGACTTGAATATTTTCTCACAATGAAAAATGATATTTTGAACCATTGAAGATAAATTGTTATGCACAGCATTTTATGTCTATTTGGTGTTTTGGGAGTCATCAATTGCTTGTTTTCTTGTTCAGTGTGGAATCATGTACTGTTCAAGTGCAACCTAGAATAGTTCAGTAATGGATGTTTGTAATCTATGTCTTTGTCCACATGCTTGCCTGTTTAGAACAATATCACAGATGCAAATAACAAAACCTGATTTTTCCTGATGCATGCAGATCCTCCAAAGTTTGATAGGATATGGCCGAATATTTCTTCTCTTGAGGTTTCTAAACCAAATCAAGGTAGGATGCTGTAAAATTCCTAGTGGTGTAAAATTTCCCAAATTTCTTTCAAAGAGTCCCAACATGGCAGCAAAAATAGTAACAGTGGTAATGCAACTTTTTTTTTTTTTTTTTTTTTTTTAGTGCTAAGTAATGATATTCTGTGAGAAAATATCTACAGAGTTCAGCCATAAAAGAAATCTTACGTGAATTGGGCATCTTTCAAAGATAAGATCACGCACATCACTACGTAAAGTCTGGAAATGTAGACACAGTTATAAGTACTGATACACGTTAAGTTGTACGGAAGTCTTTAGATAATATAATATGACTTATATAAACAGCACAGTCTGTATTATGAATAAGTTCTCAGATTTTTTGAGTGAGAAGGATTGCAATTCCCTTCTTTAAACACACTTATTAATATTTTGTTTCCACTTTCTTCTCCCAAGTGAGCAGGGAATTCTCAGCTTGTACGCCATTCAGCCTGCAAACATGATCTCTGCAGAATAGACTGTTCTCAGCAATTCAAGTTCCACACAAAGAATTACTCACAGACTTTGGCATGATGATTAGCACTGAAAGTGACAGAATGACTTTTTGAGATGAATAATAAAGTAAAAGCAATATTCTTTGTTATTTGAAGTTCTATTCAGCTGTGCTACACATTTCATAAAGATCATTCATTGTAAAAATATAATGGTCCTTCTTTTTTCTCCTTATTTACTGCCCCGATTACAATTCACTCCCAAGGAAACCCTGCAGAAATTTGGTCAGCAGCTTGCTCTGATAATTCAGAGGATGTCTTTTCTGGCCTTTAGCATATATAGATGGAGAAAGAACTAAATTTAAAGGTGATATAGAAAATAGCTACTAAACTAAACAAACAAACAAAAAAAAGGATTCTGTTGGGAAAGTATCTTAGAATGGCTGCAGCTCTATCCATTGATCACAGTGACCAGATGGAGATGCACACATACATGTATAAAATTTAACGTGCTACATGTGCAAGCTTCTACATTCTCTACACAAAACATAGAAAATCACAGTTGGTCTGTGCTCTCTATAAGGTTTATCAATGTACTTTAGTTTGTATTATTCACATATATTTTGAGCTAAATATCCCTGATGATATGGCAGTATTCTAATAATTTAATTTAGCCCACAATCTATTTTCCAAATTTTTGCATGTATTCTTTAAACAAACAAAAAAATACAGGTTGATGTCTACTCCTCTGCTGTGTCCAAGGATTAGCCTACCTTATTCACAACATATTTCATAGCTTAATTATTTATACTACTTGTAATCTAAGACCTAACTTCACGGCACAATACATCTCAAGCAGCACAAGATTACTCATTATTTCTTCCCCAGTAAATAAGAGCCAGCCTTAGTAGAATTATTTTTGATATTTTGTTACGGAACACAAAACACAAAAACTTAAAAGCATTTCTATTTAGATTATATGCTTGCTTATGCATTATATATTTACTGTAAATTAAATACTTGTTAATTATAGTGTATAATGAGAATGATTACAATAATCTTATTATATCTAATATTATTTTATCATGTTTTCTTTCTTTATGCTAATAGGCCAGAGTATATTTGCAAGTAAATTTCATTTACTTGTAGTAAGTGTACAGTAGAGCACACTGATTGCCTTATAGCCATTGATCATGTACTAGTAGAAGTTGCCCTACAACATCTAACACAAAATTGCCAATGTGCATATGTGAATTAATTTCCCTTTATTTTGGATAATACAGCTCAAATGACTCAATAGTTGATAGTCTATAATACACTTTCAGTAAGTTTCATGGTTTCCTTACAAAAGAGTAGCCATTGTTAAAGTCAATTTAACATGGTAAAGAAACAAAATAAAGAAGTTTATTTTAATCTTTTGATTTATTTCCTTATATGATATCTTTTCTAATTTACTGTTCATTTTATCACCTATCCAGTTGCTCCCAAATTATCTATGACAACTGTTTCTTCTGTTCAAGTTGCAAACCACAAGAGAGGTAGGAATTCTTGGATTCATACAGTGATTTCATAGTGCTATGTGTTGTGAAAACATTGCACTGTATGAATCTGGAATATCTGTGAAGTGAACCCATCAGCTTTACTGGTGAGGCATCTTCATTGACAGCAGAAACATTAAGTCACATAAACGTAAGGCATACACAGAAAAAATAATTATGCTTTTTACACAGTCACTGCTGACATATAAGTGATGCGGCGCTTGTTTTTGAACTAATTAAATATTAGAATATGACCATTCAGATTGTTACCTAGAAATGAAATGTTTGTTTGAGATTTCCTCACCCATCTTCATAAATTGTAAAAAAAGGAAAGAAAAAGATTAGTTGAGGGGAAACAATACATAAAAAAGTCAATTGTCCATATCATCAAGAAGTATCTGTAAGTGCCATGGAGTTGAATATGTAGTTATGTCTTTTAATGCATTGTAAGTGTGTCTTACATCTTCATTTTATTGTAACAATGTGCAAATTGAAAGTATAGGCATTACATTTTGTACTGATGTTTCTGTGTTTTATCAAAATAATGGCATTATGTGGACATAATGAAGGATGCCAGTATTATCTCAATGGCATACAGGCAACCTACTTGATTTGCATATTTATCAATCTGTCTGAGCTCAGATATTTTCATTAGGTTTCCTCATCAGTTTATCTATAAACAGTACATATGAACATGTTTTGTCTTTCTATAGCTATTTGTGAATATCTCCTTATTTACGAAACACACATCACTAAGGACTAGAGATATCAACAAACATTAGAACTTAGTTTGACCCATTTGGTAAGATCATGATACCTATTTGTTTTGAAGCAGGTCATTTCTAAGGTCACAAGAAAATCTCCTTTGTTTGTCTTTTGTTAGAGTACAGAGGAGGAAACCAGAGTTACCGGACAATGAAAAAGAAAAAAAAAGAATTTAATGATTTCTGAATGTACTTTTCTTGAAATACTTTCTGTGATTTTAATTAGAAAATGACACTGATTGCTGTCTCGTGCATTATCAGTTTCAGTTTTAAAACTGTTCTTCCCTTCCCTGTGTGTCTACCACTGTTTCATGTGATGACGTTTCATGTTTTACTGGTCCCAGCTGAAGCTTGAGCTGGACCCAGTCCTGACTGATAGCACAACAGTACATCATCTCGAAGATGTAAATGTGTAGCATTATAACAGAGGGAAGGCAACAGAGTATTCAATTTATAGGAAGACATATTCAACCTTTACATGAGTATCTTCAGTATTTAATTTTATGCTTTATGCAGTAGGATCAGGGTTGTCACAACAGAATCACTGCATTGAAAATCATCTTTAAAGGCTCATGCAGTCAGTTCTTCTGTGAGTTGGAAAGGAATTTGACAATTCCTGAATCATCCAAATATAATTATCAAATCTAACATGGCTCTCAATTCTCCCTTTTTTCTTTACACTGAACACACCTAACTAGCTTTAGCTCTCCTTTGAGGTTTCACTTTCGAATTCATTACTCCTTACTGTTACTCAGCTTTGAACTGCCTCTAGTTTATCCGTGCCTTTTCTGACATACAGTGTTAGGAATTGAAAGCAGCATTTTGCTGTAAGCTCGTGGCATTTCAATCTTGTTAAACCATTTTCAGCCTGATTTTAGTACTTTTCATCCACCTCTTTCTGCAATTGCGGGCCTTTGCCAACACATGAAAATTATTGGGCTGCTAACCAGTGACGTATGCTTAAAAACCTTAAGTTGTGCTTTCTGGTCTTTGTGCACTGGTAGGGGTGAATCACATGATAAGCTATAAGGGCCATACAGCATTGACAGGCATTAGGTAACCAGATGCCATGATGCTGAACACAATTCTACTTGTTATGGCAGAATAATTTTTTATAACATGCAAACTCGTTACAGTTTTTTGGTTTTTTGGTTTTTGGTTTGTTGTTTTGTTGTTTGTTTTTTTTTTTAACATATATATAAACGTGTAAAAATGTATAAATGGTTCACTGACCAGGCCAGAAACAACAGGAAAAATAACTTCATTTGAATGCATTAGCAAAATGGAAGAAGAGCAAAAAATTGGTTACCATCTGGCATTTAAGAGTGTTAAGACCAACTGTACATACAAGAATCATAGAATCACCTGTTTTGAAAGGGACTCACAAGAATCAGAGTTCAGCTATCAGAGTCCTGACTATAAATAGGGCAACCTAAGATTTAAACCATTTATCTTAGAAAGCTGTCAAAATATTTCCTGAACACCAATAAGCTTGGGCCCACTTCTCAGGGGATACTTGTTCCACTGCCTAACCCATTCTGAAAAGTGAAAAACTTTTTACTAATATCCAATCTGAACTTCCCCTGGTGATGTTTGAACCATTCCATTCTATCACAGGTCATCAGAGAGAAGAAATCAGCACCTCTCTCTCCACTCTCCCACGAGGAAGTTGTAGACAGCAATAAGATCAAGAATTGGTCTAATTACTTACTCTAAAAATTGACAAACTGCATCAGAACTTGAGTGGGCCTTCAGAGCCTGTTTAAGAGTACATCTGTACTTCAAACTGAGCCTTTCAAAATCATCAGTTTCTTCTTTAGTCAAGATCGTAACTTGGAGAAAACTTTGCTATCGCAATGAATTATTTTATGCGCAGCAATTTTTTGTGTGTGTTTTTGTAATAGCCAATTATGTGCTGTAATAATATTACTGAAGGTCATGTCAATTTCAGAGTGGAAATAGTGCAGTTATTCATTCACAAAACGTTCTCTCTACTATTTTAAAAACAAAAGATGAGGTAGCATAGTCCGATTTACTGTCACTTACTTATAGCCTGCATATTTTTGTAACATAACAATGCAACATTATTTTGCTGCCTGTTACTGTTTCCTCTGAATTCACCTGCAGCCTGATTTATGTGCAGCCACAAGACTGACAAACAGATCAGCGCAGTATCTTGTCACCAGAACAAGTTGTGCAATGGGGGCAGAAGACAAGTGCTGTGTCAAAGCAGAAATTACAGAATTGCTTCTTCATCTGAGATTCAAAATGGTCAGATCGCTTATCTCCAAACAATCTTTCTTATTTTGGAAATTCAACACACTAAAACTTAGCATTGTAACAATTTTGACTATGGTCCTGTTTGATAGCACTAGCTTCCACTTTTAGGACTGCTGCCTCTACCCCTCAAGGGAAGTTTTCAGCCAGCTAAGACAGATAAAGTAGGGGAGAAATGCAGCTGAACAGCTGCCTGAGATGCTGAATCTCACTGGCTAGTTACAAAAGAGAAACATTAACACTTTTCCTCCCTACTCCATTATCAAAGAATCATAGAATCATAGAATATGACAGACTATGTCTACTGGTAGCGTATTGAATCTAGTACACCAAATCTTTTACTGTACAGCAGTTACAGGGATCAAAATTATCAGGCTAACATGAACTGTGATCATTACTTCACCAGCATTATACCAAAGAAAACAGGAATGTGCATATGTTAACTGAATATACATATGTAAATTGAAATAACATTTCCTGGCAGCAGAAAGGCAGTTCTAAAGATGGATATATATGTTATACTAAGTGCTGTAGGTAAAAGAAAATATACAGTCTATTTACAGGCTGCTAGATCAAACGAATGGCAAAAGAAGTATATACATATTGCTTGCATAACATACTCATAAACATGGACTGGTATAGCAATTACTTAACAAACATATAAACAGGTGCACACATTGTTTCAGACACACTACACCAACAACTCGTGGGCTCATTATGTGCCCAGCACAATCAACAGTGCACCTTACAAAAGTCACAGAGACCTGGCCCCTGCCACATATGTCAAAAACTGACATTTTACACCCTCTGCTACAACTGTCTAATTATAGGTTAACTTCAAGCCCTCAAAGTACCCCCCCGTCACTGCATCCAGTGTTCCATTATTGCGAAGAAACATACCATAATCTCTTTTACTAATTCAATAAACTACACCTCTAAAGCATCGGTGGTGTTGCTACAAATTGGAAGGGTGGTTGAGAACCTCAGTGCCCTAATGGCTAGCTACTATTTTCTAGATTACAGCTGAAGTGTCTCAATGGCCGGTTAATATGCCTTTGGTCTTGTGCCAGAGCTGTCCGTTAGCACGGATACTCACTTATGATGATAGAAGACCATCTTCTTCTTGTATTTATAGCCTGGCAATATCCCAGCTTCAATTTCCTAGAGTAAACAAGCCAAATTATCGTACTCTTCACTTTTTAAATAGGCTCTCTACTTCTCTGATCATCCTAATAACCTGCATTTATTCTGAGTTCAGACTCAGAGCTGAACAATCAGACATACACAGGCTTTCTACACACATCGCAGCTGTGCCTTGTATAGTGATATTGATACCTAGTTTCTATTTTTCTGAATAAAAACACACATTTCTTGTGATTAAATACTGAAGCAGTAGCATTTTATACGTAGCATAGGTTTGCTGTTTTTGTTTTTGTTTTTTTTTCAAAAGAGGCTGTCATGCCAGCTGCAATTCAGATGGCTGCAATAAGCATGCTTTCTATTCAGTACACATTTCAGAGTTTACAAGCTCTTTTCTGGCCCAATTGTTTCTCATGTCTGAACTAAAACTGGGTTAATACTTACCTTAGAAATGTGCCAGAAATTTCTCTTAAATAATACTTCTCTTCCTTCCTTTTTTTTTTTTTTCCCCCGTTTCACTTCTTTTAGGAGGTTCTCACCAAAATTGTCAAACTCGAGATTTATTTGGTCTTGAAGACAGTTCCTTCCCATGGTGCCAACCAGTTACAGTACCCTGAGATGAATTCAGTACTAGTTTGAACAAGTTGAACAAGAAGTTTGACAATTTTGTCCCCTGTATGCAATATTTTTAATATGAGAAAGATTTTCCTGTGTCTTGATTTATATTCATCTCAAATACGCAAAAAAGACATGCATTTCTATCAGCAGAAACTGAGCCTCCAATACTCCTGAAAGGTTTACAACTGCAAATGCTTCAGTTCCATCAGGTTTGCCAATAGCAACCAGCCTTTGATGTCATGCTATGGTCAGTCACGCTAATCTGCCTGAAGCAAACCTCACTTTCATTGCAGATAAACATCTGCTGTTGTCCATGTTACATTGATTAACATGTATGTGCCATTCATTCATTCTTCTTCTCATAGTTCATTTTTACTGAGCATGTAATGTGCTATTACTCTGCTGCTGTATACATTTTGTATACATTTCTGTTCTTCCTTGAAAGACTGTGAATGCTTCGGGCACTCCAACCGGTGCAGTTACATCGAGCTGCTCAATACGGTCATTTGCGTGAGCTGTAAGCACAACACTAGAGGTCAGCACTGTGAGTTATGCAGGCTGGGCTACTTCAGAAATGCTTCTGCAGAGCTGGACGATGAAAATGTGTGCATAGGTCAGTCCCGGGGTAACTGTGGCTTTTCTTCTCTGCCTTTTCAGCTACTGGCAGCTGCTAGGGACTGCTGCTGCTTAATTGCTAGTTGAGCCAGAATGAGCTTTTTCAATGGATAAGAACATCTGTGAAGACTTTCCGTCCTGTTGCTTTAGTTGTCACTGTAGCCCCAAGGAAGTATTTTGGATCTGTACATGATGATGAAATCCCTTGGCAAAGGGCCCTGGGAAGACTCTCCCAGAAAGCCCCAAGAAGCTGACTGTGTTGGCCTGCAGCAGGGAGCTGTACATGTGTGAAAATGGAAGCTTTGGGTCATAAATCCCTGTTCCCAGTCTAACTTTCAAAATTATTAGTTAGACTAATTAGAAATTATTCATGAACACTTGCAGAAGACCTACGGAAGTTGTCAGGTACATGAATAGAAGATGGGAGTCGGCGTGTGTTAACCCCTTTTCATAGAAGATCACAGAATGGCCTGGGTTGAAAAGGAACTCAAAGATCATCTAGTTTCAACCACCCTACCGTGGGCAGTGTTGCCAACCACCAGACCAGGCTGCCCAGAGCCACATCCAGCCTGGCTTTGAATGCCTCCAAGGATGGGGCATCCAAAACCTCTCTGGGCAACCTGTTCCAGTGCGTCACCACCCCCTGAAAGAAAAACTTCCTCCTAATATCTAACCTAAATCTTCCCAGTCTTAGTTTAAAATCATTCCCCCTTGTCCTATCACTATCTATCCATATAAACAGTTGCTCCCCCTCTTGTTTATACACTCCCTTAATGTATTCGAAGGACACAGTGAGGTCCCCCTAGAGCCTTCTCTTCTCCATCTTTTATTAATTTAAATTTTAAAAGAACATGTAGCTCCAGATTCTATTCACAGGCACAGGGCTGCTAACTCCTCTCTCTTTTGAGAAGAAACTGTAATTACGCCTGTGTGATTAGGATTTGTCAGACCAGTTTGACATAATGTCAATTTAAGTATAAGAAACCAAGATGAAAGCAGGGCTCTAAACCTAATATCTGATGTAACTATCCAAAATGCAGAAATAAAGCAAATGCCAGAATAAAATAAGAAATTGTGTAGTACAAAATGTCACACAAGAAGAATATGTGTTGTTCTCTTATCACCTCAAGTCAGTGCATAGAAAATGATAGGACAGTAGGTGAAGATCAAGGACAGTCAATAAAAGGTTCGCTATTGGCTTCATACAATATCCAGTAGTGAACACATCTCCACAAAAGGCAACACTCACTTCAGTGTTCTTAAACTCAGTGTTTCTGAATTTCCATTGTGATTAGTTTTTCTTTCCATTTTCAAGAAGGAAAAGAAAAAGAAAGAGAGAAAAAAGAAAGATTTTCATACCAAATTGGCTACAGGCGAATAAGTTAAATTTTAATATTCTTTATAATCCATTCCTGAGATTCAATCCTGACATTTCTTAAGGTTGCTATTATTTGTTTCAGTCTACAGCTTGTCAGATTTACATTTTATTTTGTGATAAACACCTGGATTCATCCACGCACTGCATTTCACATGTCCTTCTTTTAACTTTGCTTGGCAACACATTCAGAAAATGCATGATCTCCTCTGACATTAATTAGTTTGAGCTAATATAAACTTCAGTAGGCAAGTCATGATTTCTTATATGACTGTGCTGAGGATGTTAACCCAATCAAATGTTATCAGTAAAAAGCACTGTCCTTCATATTTGTTTGATGTAAATGAGAGACAGCATTGATATGACATCAGGCCTATATAATTTCAGCTATCTAAATAGGACTAATAAGCATGATACTCTGTTTGGGATTTTTCATCAGCTCATGCAGTAAATTGTTTTCCCTTGTACACTTGAAATGCTAAGTTAGCATCTGTAGCTATATCCGTAAGACCAGGAAGTTAATAAACCAGGGGTAAAAAATAAGTGGATTTGTAATTAATTAATTTGCAAGTAATATATTTTGAATGTCTTAGTACAATGCATTTCAGAGTGGCCCAGACATTAAGGAAGTGAAATAAAATAAACTTTCATTTATCAAGAGTCTTAAAAAAAAAAAAAAAAAAAAAAAAAAAAAAAAAAGCAGAATTAGGTCCATTTAGGTCCTACCTTAAAGCAAGCAAAATTCTCATGGGCTCCCGTGTGAGATGACTACAGGATCAACACAGTTTTGCTACATATTATGTAATTTCTTTAAAAAACAATATTCTTATTGGTCTAGGGCAGCTTTGAGAATCATAGTGATCATACTGCATACAAAATCCTTGTTTCTCAGCTGATTCACCAGCTTAGCGCTTTCATACTATTGCTGGCATGAAACCAGTGGAATGCAAAGAATACCAAAGAACTTTTTAGAGGAGGAAAGTTAAAAAAAAAAAAAAAGGGGGGGGGGGGGAGAGAAAACAGAAGTTCTTTCCTGTTGCGGGGCTGCTAAGATTTAATCCTGCAAAGTATGGGGCATATTTTCATTGCAGAGAAAAAATGGATTCACCATCCTGCTGCATCAAACACATGGAGTCTTGCTCTATTGGAAACGCTCATTTCTCCTCTGAGAGCACTGTTTTGAATTTTAAGTATGATTAGAACATTACATTAACAGTAACATTTTAATAATCAGAATTTCAGAGAGTACAAATCTTATTCTCATAAAAAGTCTAATTTTTCCAGTTTAACTCTTTTCTCTTCAACTACATATATAGAAAGTTCAACATATTTAGATAGGTTATTGGCAGCTAGCAGGGGTTTGGCTCTGATTTATCAAAACTACTTATATAGTTTTGATATATATATATATGGTAAGTACATGGATAACGTGAATCTTAGTCAATGCTATCTAAATGATGAAAGTGTTTCATTTTCAAAACCAGAAGCATTAAAAAGCATTTAAATATCAAGAGGGGTTTTTGTTGTTGTTGTTTGTTTGGGTTTTTTTTCTTTTTTTAGTATAAAGCGAATGCAACATAGTATAAAGTGGGCTTAAATCTTATTTCATTGTGCTCTAAATTTTTTAGAAGTAAAATAAATTTTATTTTCTAAAATGAAATATCAAATGTTTGTCAGTTGAATTCCAAATCACCTTCAGTAGACAACCCAATTTCTAAATAAGTCATGCTATTTTAATATGAAAAATAATTCACTGGGCATGCTTGTAGTGCAATTTAGCAGAATTGGAAGAACTTTATTTTTCACAAGCTCTTGATCAAGTCCTAATAACTCTGTTTCAGTGAATACACACACTGGTAAGCATGAAAAGTATTGAAGCCTCCAAGTGGACCCAGAGTAATACATCATTTCCTTTGCTTTTCATAAGATAAATACTGAAATAGTGATTATTGTTTCACCTATAAGATCCAACCATGTGATCACCTGGTCTTAAGTCCCTGTTAATATCTGTGAAAACTTAATAAATTCCAGTGATAAATGCTGTAAGGGTTGCTCTGTAGCCACTGTCAACCCAGAATGATAGCAGCAAACCTGTAAGATTCAGCTCATTTTCACTATCTTTTTTTAAAAAAACCTATTGGCAGAATTGCATTAATATCTCAGTGAAAATATGACTGCTACTGTTATCTTCCCATCCTTTATAGTCACCAAATTGAGGTCAGGAGGAAAATACCTACCCAGCTGGATTAGCAGAAGCTAGTTTTTTTCCTTTCCTGGAGCCTGGTGTATGTTCTTGCTAAGATGATCTGGAAATGTTACTTAATGACCTATTGCTGCGAGGTCATAATGATACCCACTGTCTTTCTTTGGCACACTGGAATTTGATTTTTTTAATGTCTTAGGTATTTGGCAGGTGATGGGAAGTGTTGTACACCCTGTCATATGGTGTTGGACAATGAGCTTGGGTGTTTTGTTGACCTTTCAAGGTTAGACACTTGTGTCAACTGCATATTGGAAAAGACACAGGCTAGATTGAGTTACTAAAGGTTCCCAGGTCTATTCACTGATTTGATCTTGCACTTTTACAAAAATTGCTCGACTTAAAGTTTTCTTTTTGGTAGAAAACAATATGGACCTAGTACTTCTAACATTTTCATGTGATAATTCAGTAGAAAAGCTTTTGCTGACTCAGTGTCAGGTTCTGTGGCCAGTTTAAAACTGTATCTATAGCGTTCAATAGCATAGGCCACACATTTCTTTCAAAAATACTTCTTTTTAATCGCTGTAGGTATGATTTGTCCAACTAAGTTATTTTTAATGTGTAAGAACTGGGTCCTCTGTTTCTAATGTAATTCCAAGCCTTTTGTCCTTCAAGATTTTCTATAAACACCTTAAACAATTGTGACTTCCTGCATTCAATGTGTAACTCCATTTTATGTCTATTTACATAAACATTTTGTACATCTGATTAACATCAGAACTGCCAGCTTTTCAAGTGGCACCCGTCACAGTATAATCATGCTGTCTTGCACAATATTTTTGGTATTACAGCATTTAGCTTCATTAATGAATGTTGCTAGCTAATTGACTATATTATTATTGTGGATATCCAACTGCCAAAGGTAACTTCTCTTCCTCAGCATGCCAAATGTTCAAAGTGTCATCTGTAATTTATGGCTATTAGACACTGATACAACAGATGACAAATGTCTTTCTGGCAATGTTGTTGATTGTTTTGTTTTTTTTCTGACACAGATTTTCCATTGTATTTTTTAATATTTTCCTTCCCAGTTCAACAACGTTTTGTTATTTTCAATTTCACTGAATTTTAACCTAATACTGGGGAAAAATTCCAGAGGTAGTCAAAGCAGCAGTGATTCACAGGCACACAAAGCCAGATTCCCAGCAGGTCGCTCAGATTCAAGAATCAATTTGTATTTCTTTTGCCTTCAACAGCAGCAGAGATCTGCCAAAATCCAAGTGTGTCTGCAGTCTTGGGTGAGGGAGGAGTTACTCTGGGTCTACATGGGTCTACATAAAAATTAAGATACGACCACTTGAAGGAAAAATTGGAGAATGAGAATGCCAAAAAATGAGCACTGCTAGCTAACATCTTCTTCGCTTAGCTAGCTGAAAGCTGAATTCTAATATTCTAATCACAATAAAGAAAAGAGCTGTGGTTGAAGAAGATATATTCCCCTACAGTAACTGTTGTGGGAGGAAATAGGTTGCCCTAGTCCTACTTTAATTAGGTCAGTACACGTGTGGAAAATATACAGCAGAGAAAGAGCCTCATTGCATCTTCCATCTGCCCACTGGGAGATGAGAGAAATGAAAACAGCAACATAAAGCAAGTTCTGATAAGTTTTGCATTACATTCCTTCTCACCTCTGCTTATCATTGTGGAAAATGTAAAAGGTTTATTAATGTCACTGATAAATACAGTCTCATCAATTTAATGACGAGTATCCACAAAAATTACTATACTACTCCAAACAATAAAGGAAGACTATCTTGGAAATAACTAAAGTGCATTTATATAGCCGTCTAAAGCCATTCAGCATTTCTAAAACCATCGAGTAATATATAGATAAGCCCATTTTAATGATGTGAAACATTCTGCCCTAATGGCACATTGATATGTAAAGCTTTCCTAACGTTTGTTAAATTGTCAAAAACATTCCTACCAGTCTGTTACAATCACCCTCAAAGAACAGGAATCTTTTGCCTTCACATCTTTCTGCTTACCTTTTTCTCTTCATATCATAAAATGCCTCTTCCTGAAATGACATTTGCAAACAAATATATGGACTATAGTAATTATAGTCACTACTCCTGATGTTCATAGACAGTCTTCCTTTACCTGTAACACTGGAAATGCAGCCTTTATGGTATTAAATGAATTATCACTTTATGTAGACCTGAATCCAGTGTGTGTGTGTTGTCTTGTTTCTGCAGACTGTTATTGTAACCCTTTTGGTTCAGTCCATGATCGCTGTAATGACAGAGGATTTTGTGAGTGTAAGGAGGGAGCATCAGGGCCTAAATGTGATAAATGTCTGCCGGGATATATCTGGCACAGCTTGGGCTGTCAACGTAAGTAACTCAGAGTTGCCCCTCTTCTGCAACTTTGCTGCCTCTGCGTCTGTGTGCTATCATGTGCAGCTATTTAAGAGCAGAAAATGAGCAAAACCTCTGCAGGCTGCCAGAATGCCATACTGCCTGAGTCTTTCTGGAGTCTCCCAGATGAGGACAATAGATTGGCTGTGCCATCCATTAATTTTAGTACACTTTCAGTGTCCTTGCTCTTGCTAATTCTTGCAAGAGTTCCCACTGAAATATATAAATGTGTGTCTTGCTATTTGTGAAAAACGTTTTGTGTACTAACATATCAGCATATTAAATCCAACTTTTAAACTCTTCCTAAAAGACAAAAGGTAATTTCTCTGCATGTTCTTTTTTTTTTTTTTTTTTTGTACTAAATTTCAATCTCTTCGATTAACTTAACCATACTTTCACACCTTAGAACTAAGCCTTTGAGCAATACAACTGCAAAATGCTGGCTTATTATATGTTATAACTAGTGAAAACTACACAAAATTTAAAGATAATTTTAAAATAGAATTGAAAAAAAAGTCCTTAAAAATAATAGCTGAAATTTGGTGTAAACATTGTTAGCAGCAGATGTTGTTTCAGCAGTTAGTTGGATATTTAGATACTTTTCTCATTAACAGGTCTTGTAAACATATGAGTGGAAATATCCAATCAGTACACACTGGATTAGGCTTTCATTGTCAGTTTCTTTTGTTTTGTTATAACTGTTTTGATCACTTATTTCCAGAAACTCTAGAGACTTCTCATGATTTTTTTTTTCACCTTTTCACAAGAAAATCAATATGATTCTTTGCAGTATAATTTGAATAAAGCATAGCAAACACTTGTGTTCACTCCGTGGGTTTAAATAAGATATTAAGTAGCTAAGGTAATGAATGGAGCTGAAGGTCTGTGTACTGTGTTGTACAGTGACATAATTAATATGGCAATAGATATAATAGGCTGTCAAACCAATTGCTTATTAACCACACTGTTTCCTATTCTTATGGTTTGGACATTATAACCCCAATAATGTTCTTCTAATGAGTATTTTTTGAGCCCAACATATAATTAGCCTGATTTTAGCTGAGTCAGACTATTTGTAAAAGTTTTAGACAGTTTCTGGAAATGCAAGCTAGTGCTTTTCTGTTTGCTGACAGAACCAATTAAGTGTCCCTCTCTGCATTGTAATTTTCTGAACAAATCTTCATCTGATTGTGTTACTGTCAGATAACTCCCAAGTTTCATCAACTTATCTGATCGAGTTCAGAAGAAAACCTAGATGCAGTTGTTAATTTTGTGGAACAGACACAAAATTTAAATCTTGTTTCAAGTCTTTTCATGGAGGAACAGAATTCCAATTCATTTAGTTTTGCAGTGTGGCAATTTTAGCTTGGTTTTCTTCCCACTGAAATCTAAACAACTTACTGGAAAACAAGTCGGTACCAATATACAGAAAAAATAATAACTCATTCTTCTGCTTTAACAGAGCACAAAAGAATTATTGTCTGGACTTGTAGCATATGATCATATGGGTTTACCTTGAACTTGCACTGCACAGAAATATAAATACGCTAAGATGGATACACACACAGTGCACCAATATGTGCTTGTTTACTTTTTGTCATATGTAGCCTATTGGTACTATTACAAAAATCTATTTTTATGGAGCTTTGTTGCTAAACTTTGTTGACCTAGAACAATCAGAAGCTTTACACACAAAGTTAAATCTATATCGTAGCGAGTTTAATTATTCTAATGATGGTGGTAGTAAATGAAATGGCTTAGTATCAAGCCATATGAACCTATTTGGGAAAAACAGTGCTGAAAATCCTGTTGTGTTCTAAGGCTCAGAATACATCATTTGATAAATTACTGTTCAGAGTCTCCCTTGTACAACACATGGGTGAAAGACACAGAAGCTATTATCCTCAGAAGTATTCGTTTAGGTACTGCACTCCTACTGATTTCATCTAAAACCTTTGAGGATCTAGGTAGAGCTCTCATCACTTGCTTCTCTGTGCATACAGAGGTCAGATGCAATTTAAGACTTTGCCTCCCAGATAAAAAGCACCGTGATAACAACTGTTATCTTACTGAATTCAGGGTTTATGCTACACAGACACAGCAGTCAGTCAGGGTCTGGTTAGAACAGGAAGGTTTGCTGCCCTCATTAAAAAAAGAGGCAGAGGTGTAGCTGTGCCTCCATGCCCACCTCTGGACACATCCATGCTTCAGGCAGAGTGTGGGGGAAGCAGCCAGCGCTCAGCCCTCCACCACTCTTCCACATACCTCCAATGGTTTTCTCACTTGCACACAAATAGAGGTCCAAGCGAGGGGAATGAATTCAGAGGAGAACACACTGGTCCTGAAACTCTTTTAGAAATTCAGAAACGTGAGAAACAGGATAGCTATACTTAATTTTTCTGTTTTATAGCAATTAAGCCATTTCCTTTAAAAAGCAATGTAGAAACAGAAGAAAATAAAGCTCTAAAGCTAGAAAGAAATTTAACCACCACTGACAGTTGTTTTGGGCCACAGTGACCAGTTCAGCACGATAAGAGGAACCCATAACAAAAAGTAGAATCATTTGCACAGAGCTGACCGAGTCTGAAAAACAGATGAAGGGAAAATACCACGCAGGACCATTTGATTTTCTAAGCATGCAGGTTCATAATACTGCATATTTCATATTTCTCATCCATTTCATGTCAGGAATCTAAATCCTATTGTGTTCGTATAGGAGTGTTTGAAAATAAACCATTTAATTTCAATCGCACTGAAACTGATTCCAAAACCAGCTGTGTATTTATCCAATCTAACAAAGAAAAAGTTTCTTTTTTGGCAATCCCAACTTTGCAACATAACTCTAATTTGCCTAAGACATAACCTTCCCATGGAGAAAAAGATGATATTATTCACTATCTTCCTTCATATGGTTAATGAGCAAAGAGGGATTTTGGAGTTACCAAGGATAGCTTGCACCCAGAAGTTAAATTCAGTGTATTTATTGACAATCATTGTTTTAAAATGTCTTGTTTCAGTTTTCAGCCAGATGCCTTATGTTGATCTCTGAATAATTGCTTTTATTTTACCCTTTTATTTTTTATTTTTTCTTATTTCAAATATTTTTTATTAAGGCAGGGAGAAGATTACAATTACCTTCTTATCTTAAAAGCTCAAACTGTGCTCAGTGCTTGTATCTGGACTGAATTTTTATCACTCTGCAGCCCACTAGATAATTCATATTCTGTTACAGTATGCATTGATTTCTTATATAATTTAAATATATTTTTGTCTGCATTTTATCACATGCTACAAATGTGAGAACCTCAGGCATTTGATCAAAATCATGATGCAGATTTAATTTCAAAAGAAAGTCAAACCTGAAGTTGTGACACCCAATATTAACATTGGCTTTTGGAAGTTTGTGATGAGTATTCAACAATAAAAGATGTGTTACCATCCTTTTCTTAAAATACGTCACATTCTTCTTTCCAGACTGATTAAATATATAAATGTAATGGTCTCTCCTCTTGAAAGTTAGCAAGTTTTTATACATACTTGTACACAGATATATCTGTTAGCCCTTCTATATCTATACATTGACTTTCTTCATGGGGAACTGTGACAAATTCAGAACTGGAAAGCCCTGTTTTCCATTTTACCTTTGCCTGTGTGCCTGACAGACAATCCATTTCTATCTTATTACACCCTTCTACCAGTGGCAGTTTTAATGCTTTTATCTTGCCAGGATATAGCAGGATTTCCCCTCTGCACAGGTGTTGCACTGTCTTCTAGTTCTAGTTTTGGTGCCAGGACTGGTGCCAGCAAGTGCATTCCCTCTTCAGAGCCAGGGGGAAATAAAACACAGACAGAATTGACTGAAAGGTACCAAGTTCTGAACAATGCCATCCCCAAGGAACATGTTTTCCTTGTTTTTTATACACGCAATACTGCTTTCACAATATCTATTTTACATGATTGTTATGCAGAATGAAGAAATTGTGTGTGTATTGGGATTTGGATGTCAGAGAAACACTCTGCTTCAAACTACTCTAAATTTAAATGCAGAATAATTCTCCTTAAACCAATCCAGAATCCCACAGCTTCAACTCAAGGCAAAGTATGACTTACAGGTGTAATAACAAGCAAGGCAAAATTACAAAATTACAGAGTTATCAGACCTGATTCTCAGATGATTCGAAAACGCTGATTCCATTAACCTCAGTGGAAGCATGCCGCCTTACCACACGTGCTGAAATCCTGGGTCTTTTAGAGATGAGAAAAGACAATGTGGATATGTTTATTAACACAGTAATTCCAAGATACATAGCCCACAAAACAGCCATGCAGATATAGCAATACATAGACAATTTTTTACTAACAAAGTATGATTATTATGGAAAGTTATTACTTTTTAATGAGATGTTGGATTTAAAGGAGAAACAGAAGGCTCATCTCTCTCTGCAGAAAGGATATTTTAGACACACACACACACACAAAAAAAAAAAAGAAACCCAACCCAGAACAAAAACATTGTATTTTACAAAAAAATGAAATGAACCATCTTTCCTCTATGAGGAGCAAAGAGAAGATGAAAACATAAGATGCTTTCTATATATAGAATTACACAGATTCACATAGTTACCATAATATGGCCAGTTGGAATCAAGTCTCAGACTGCTCTTAGTACTGCTTCATTAAAATCTGTCAAACATCGTGAAAATGGAGTAACCTGCAAAAAGAAATAGGTTAGAGAGACATTGATATGTGCTCGAAGACATTATCAAAAGCACCTCTGTGCTGGAAGGAAAGCCTTTGTGAATAGAATAAGGATTGTGAGTTAAGTAACACCTGTGTGGGGGGCAGCTTGAGGAAATAATGAGTCATAAAACAAACAGAAGGAGGAATAGCACAGGGGGCTAATTCACATAAGTTAGCACCGTGCTAAAAGGCACGAGGCTCTTAATATAGACTGCAGCTCTTCAGCTCAAGATCTC